TGGTGTTTGGAATGTCGAGCATGATTCCATTGACTATACAAACACCATTGTCAAACTTCTACGCTTACAGGAAAGTGGCGCTGAACGTCCGACGTACCTGTTTTCGCGTTTAAAACTTTGGCCTCAACCTCGCTATTATCACCGAAATGCGAGTCAATTTAAATAAATTACTTTATTTATTTATAAATTAATTACGATAAGAAAAAACGAAAGAATTAATTTTGATGATAAAGACGAGTTTTTATTTGGTAAGCTAAAAATCTGTTAATAAGTTTTTTTATTCTGAACTTTATTTTTCCGGCTGTTATGTATGTATACGTACAAGGGACATTATTGGAATCTTATCAAATTTGATCGGCCCAGTAATTAGTAAATCTCCCCTTTTTAAGACCTCCCGAAACCCAAAAGGCAAAACAGAAGAAAAATTTCGTGGATCTGTGTACTAGCGTGTATTTCGTTTAATATCTCAGAATGGAATAAGGCTGAAGAAACGAAATTTGGCATGGTAGCTGCTTATAAGGGGCATATTGATGCAATTTTGATAATTAAAGGTCGAAGAGGTATGGTAATAGTAGGTGGCCAAGTGTCATATTTCGAGAAGAGTCAGATTTAATTCAAATTTTACTCATTATTAGTATTTGCAGTTTTTTTTTTTTTTTAAATACAAAACTATCCTAAAAATTTAGCTTTTATGCCATTTTATAGTAATGAAAAATGTAAAAATTTATGGAAAAAATATAACAAAATCTCATAGTAAATGGAGTCACACATGCAATTTTATTTAGTATGCTTAGTAATACAAGAGTTATTTTTAAAATAAAATCTCATAACTGCCAAGAAATTTGGCAAAACTCAGGTATTTTGTCAAGACCCACTAAGCATTATCTGCATCCTGGCTTTCGCTTCCACTTTATATAGGCCTATATATTCTCACGTATTTGTTCCGTATTGACTTCCATTTAGAAATACATACATCTGTTCCTGAAATACACGTACCAAGAAAACTAACAGCCTACGTATTAAAACACATAAAACACAGACATTCTGTTATATGATTGAAACGAAGTTCGAAAACTCACTATTCAATCCACAAACCTTTTGAACTTCTCTCCAAGCTTTCTCTTTTGAGTTATGAAGTCTATACTCTTTTAATGTTACGTTATATATAAGCCTTTTTTCAACTTCTAAAATAAATTTAATGTCGTCCTCCTAACTTCTTTTGTTCAGCATTTTTCGTAGAGATAAAAATGTTGCTTTGGCTTGCTCTTTCCAACGCGCCCCAGTGTCTCGTACTCCATTGGCCGACATGGAAATTTTTAACACGCTTCGCGATATTACATACGCTCAAGTTTTCTTCGTTCGCTCTCTTCGCTTTATTACGCTTCGAGCCCTTTGCGTCCAGATGTCGAGAAGGCGCGAACCGCCTTCTCACCGTCTCCAATGATACCCCTTTAAATAGGAGTGTCGACCGTCAGACAATATCAAATCCGTCATAACGCGCCACGGGGTCCTCGAAAGACCGAATAATCTCACACTTTTAGTTATATATAGCTAGATTAATGATTTTAACTTTTCTCCCAAAAAATAATAATTTAGCTTCATCTCAGTGGATTCGAGATCAGTTCACGCCAGTGATTCCCAAATTTTTTCAGCCACGCCCCCTTTGTTCCAAAAACTTATACCCGACGTCCCCAATCCGTTTTCCTTTGTGTGAGAAAGGCTTGGTAATATTCTTAAAAACCTCACACTTCTTTTTACCAACCTCACAGTTTGTGTCCTTACTATACTGTACTGTACTGTACATTGTTCTCAATGTCTGGAAACCATTAAACGCAATGTTTCTTCTTACTTGTCTTATTAACGAAGAAAAAGAAAGGTTGTCCGTGACCCAACCCTCGCCGATGTTACCGTTCGGTAGCTTGCCTTCAATGCCTTGTTCCCTTTCGCTCCTTACATTTACTCACCGCCCCTGGGAGGAGATAGCGTTCATCTTGGGAACCACTGGTTTACAATTATTCTCTCAATTTTGGACTTTGGCCCAAATGGATCTAGTCCCGTTTTCGAGTATGCTTACTTCTTTGTCGGTCATCGCCACCGGAACATGGTCGGTGAAGGCAAAAAGATCGCTTCATTGTGGAAGCTGAATTCGAATATCGCGTTCGGTAGTAATTTCCAGAACGAGGGGCCCGAGGCTAATCTGGCCTCGTGCCAGACCGGGTTCGACACTTCACCGTCCGATGCTTCAACGACACTTCTGTACAATCCGCGTTATTATACATTATTTTCATTATAACTATTTGCAAATCGTGTAGATTTTTGGCCACTTTTGTTGCTCATTTTGGCTCGAACGAAATTAGTGCTGGCCAGGCCTCATTAAATGCAGGTGTTAAGTCTAATAAAATTATTAAACAAATCTTTTTATTGACTAAAGCATCTCTCTTTTTTTAACCTTTAAAAAGGTAAAGTGTGCTTAATGAATTCGGTTTCTCAGTATGGAACCAACTGTGGGGTGGAACCAAATTAATTGGGCTGTAGGAATTTTGATTGTCTCTTAAATTGTTAGTTAATTTATCTCGTTAATTAACACTTCTAGAAATTTTTTTATTACAGGATAGGGATCAGTTCAGTATAATCTGAGAAGTAAAAATGTTTACGAATATCTGTTTAATTGAAAACAAGACTAAGGAAAAGCTAAAGCACTATTTCGTGCGACACTTCTGCTACAGATGGCGTTGAAAATCAATAGTGTCTAGTGGTAAATACGAAAGTTAGGATTTACTTTGAAAGTTAATTATTTAAATGCGAGAATTAGGAAACGTTAGATCTTTTAATTCTCGCATTTCAATAAAAGCATTGTTTTTTTGAAATCTGAATAAGTTTACAAAAATAAAAAAACGTATTCCATTACTTCGTATTACTAAAACAAAAAACAAACCATACTTTAGTTTAATATTAATATTCGTTTTAGTAGTATTAAATTTTAATCAAGAAAACTGCAAAATCTTTTCGCATTAATTGATATTTTTTCCCTTTCTCTTTTTCAGAATATAAAATAGGTTTTAATACATTACATTGGGTTTATTACATCAATAAGTAAGCTAGATTTGTGATAATTGTGTTTGCTTACATTAATAGTAAATTAAATTATTTCGTACCTTCAAACAATTAAGTACAATACCTTAAATAGTTAATAATTTTAGAATATTTTTAAAAATTTGACGCAATTCAGAATTTCCAGTGTAATACAAAACTTTTAATAAGATTTCGTCGATAAGAAACTTTGAATAAGATAAGTAAATAATAATTGCTTTTTACAAATTTAGCAGTGGCGTATAGTGACATTTGATGATAGAGAAGCAGTGTTTCCTACAGAAACACAGTTTTCCTATCAACAATTTAATTGCGTGTCAGTGATGATCTAGGGTCCATTCGAATTCATTTGTTCGATAAGCCAGAAAAACCGTAGACTTCTTTAAATGTATATTTAATATCACAATTGCATTCTGAATCACTAGCCACGATATAAGGGCTACAATTAAAAATAAAATTATAAAAACTTGGTGAAATAAAATGTGTGGTGGATATACATAAATGGTACAAAATATTCTTTAATTGTATGAATATACTTTTAAAGAAAATTATAAATTATAATTAAATATAGCTCTGTAAAGAAACGTACATAAAAATAACAAAATCTTCTTTACTTTTTAAAATCTTAAAACAATCCACTTATTCAAATAGCTCCTTACGAGTGGCTAATGGATGGAATCGAAGACGCCTTGTAGGTGTGCAGTGCGGGTTACCAAATCCCGAGGGTGCCGATACCGGTCAATGTCAAATGCCAGTTTAGTCGCATCAGTAGTATATCTCAAAGGACACGACAGTGTTGTTGTAAATTTTAAGCGTTTCTCGCCATAGCTGTAAAAATCTAAATATGTTAAACTTAATAGATTGTCTGTCATTTGTTTTCTAACTAATTCGTTTTAGGACCAGATGTCCACGGAAATTTCTAAAATTTACAACTTTTCGGTCACTCTCATTGAACTGGAAAAATTACTTTCTTTATTACATCTAATATTACAAAGAAATCATTCCACACTGTACTCGGCTAGAGATTAGTTCGGTTACGCTTCGGTTAAATAAAATTCCGGCTCTTTCAACAGGGTTTTATTTATAATAAGTTGAAACCAGTTACTTTGTACTTGAATATTTGTAGTCTTGGGAAAGAAGTGGAAAGACAAATTTTTATGATAACGCATACATATATCATAAATTTAAGGAAAATAAATTTTAGGACTTTTTTGTACCTTGTGCATCTCATTCATTACATTTAGTTGTAAATGATACTGTCAAAGTAACAGTTAATTTTTTAACATTGTACAGGTGTAAGGATTTGTTTATGATTTTTTCTGCATTTCCTTATAGATGGGTCATACTAAATGGTAATATCACTAGTTTAACATTGAAATCTGTAAGTAATACAAGATGAGAGAGCAGAATAAAAGCAGAATAAATATTTCAAGTATTTTGATGAATTAAAAAAAAACTCCTGTTAATTACACAGAATTATCATAAAAACATACTAATAAACTCCTGTCAGCTGGGTTAAATTATAAATCTACTCGCGATTCACATAATGGAGCGAGGGCGGCCAAATATCTAGCAGACAAGCGGCTAACAGCCAGAACCGGTTCTGGATAGAATCATTGAAAGCGTAATGATGTATAACATCCACCAGCTAAACGGCGTGAGGTTGGTGCTCTGTAAAGTGCATGCTCAAATGCGTATAACCTGGCTTCTTTACACCATTCAGATATTTTCGCTGTGGAAGCTGTCTCCTATTCGACAATATAGAGCTTCCATTCTGCCAATGATATTCGAATATACAATAGCAATCTTATCGTTTTTTTCACGTGTAGTATAGAAATTTGTAATAAGATACATAATATGGTTATAATAAAATATTAATTTTAATTAATTCAAATTACGTACGTCAAAATATGAAAGTAGTCGCACATATTGTGTTTGTATTTTAGAAAATACAAGGGAAGCCGCGCTTCCACCGCTTCCAAGGACGGCATACCACTGAAATTTAGAATAATTCTTCAAAACTTCGTTGATAAGAATCAATTGATGAGATTGATTTTCGTTGACAATTTTCCACTTGCGTTAAGCATTTCTGAAAAAAAAATTAATCAAAACTATTTTTATACGAAATAATATAAAAGATTCATTAATTTATCTGGCAATTTTAATTAGTTTTAAAATTTTGAATTTGTTCATTATATTTATTTGCTAATTTGGAAAATTAGAATCCGAAAGACAGAGAATCGTAACAGATAAGTGTCTTAACATAAGACGTCCAATAAGAAAAACATTTATTTTGTCTAAAGTAAATAATATCTGGTTTCCTTATCTGGTTTCTTTACCTTTTTCTGTGAAAAACTCCACAATAGTATACTGAACATTAAATATATGTTTCGGCTACATTCAAACACATCACTGGAAAGCTTTCGATATTATATATTAATACCTGATTACATTTGTAAAAAAACAACTAGATTAAAAATCTAGTTAACTTTCCCAGCGATAAAAGTAAAAATTGTATGTGGTGCCATCTGTTATGAAATTTCATTTTTAAAAAATTCTGAAATTATTATTTTCATTATTATAAAATTACAAAAAGCTTCATTTTCCGGGTAGCGATCTCACTCTATCTCTCCACTCCCTCATCAACCTTTAACCACAAAAATTTACCATCATCAATTCTCTAATATACAATCCAACCTGCAAAATTTCAGAAATTTTCGATAAAAGGTTCGGTAGTTATTAAGCTTGAAGTCGGGTAAACAAAATCGTAACCTTACACTAACATCCATACATAGAGAAAAAACTTTAAACTTTTTTTTTCATTTCTCGACGTAGCATGTTTGGACAGACCTGGAAAAGTATGGCGATGGGTCAAAAAATGCCGGTGTATCTTTGATTTGCATGTAGTTACAATTTCATGATGAACTCATGAAATTGTAACTACATGCAAAAGATAACTCGTATCCACCACTAGAGGGCTTGAACCTGATACAGATGGTATAAAACTTGGCAGTTGGTGAGATTTACTTAATTTTTTAATGTTAAGGCGTCAGATACCTAAAATGAAAGGCTGACGTCTGATCATTTTTAATTGTAAATTTTACCTATTGTTATTCGTTTTTATGAAGTGATTTCTTCAAACCAATGTAAAAGGGTACTTCTATGGTGTATGAAAAAAGGATTAATTGATAGACTCAAAAATTAATAAAATAATTTTTTGTACATAGTCTAAATCTCTAATTGATAATTAGAAGAAAAATATCCTGAGTTCGTCATGAAAGCATATTTTCTTATTACTGCTGGGAAAATTACGGATTATCTAGACCAGGCCTGGCCAACCCGCGGCCCTTCACGTTAAATTGTGTGGCTCGCTAAGCGATATTATATATCTATTAAAACTTTTGTTTCCCGTTATGTGTATACCAAAATAATTAAATAAATGAAAATTTGTATGTGTCATTGTTATAATGCACAAGTGCGAGTACGAACTCTTGGTATAGCAATAAAATCTTATTCATTTTGTATCTGTTTTACTTTTTTAAAAGTTTGCCTAAATTGTGGCCCACGGTAATGTTACGCGTGATCAAAGTGGCCCGCGAAACAATTTGGGTTGGCCAGCCTGATCTAGACGAATTGGAGACAGAATCAAACTACACAATACGCTTAATTCCTAGTGACAGACGTTTTGAATCTTGATATATTTGCCTGGTTGCCGACAAACGCATTACACAGTAGACCCCTATAACGCGGGTTCCTATAACGGAGATTCCTATAACGCGGCAAAAAATTGCGACAGTATTCGTATAAGGACGCTAAAAGGGACTCGTAAAACGTCGTCGCGACTGGATTGGTCGAATCTGGACCAATAGTCGACGAGCAGCCGAACTACTTTCCGCCGTCCAGAGCCACGCTATGCAGAGTTTAGGCGGGTAAAATTATCATAAATTAATTATCTATTATAAATTATCTATTATAAGTTATCTATTATAAATTAATTATAAATTATATTAAAATATAAATTAAAATTATTATAAATCATACATTACGTAAGGAGTTTACTATCGTCTGTACAGTATGTAAATTAGGTACCGTAAGTCTAATACAGTACTGTAATTTTATACATTTCTTGTGAAAAAAATATTTCTTATTCAACGGCTATTAAAATTATTTATATTAATGATGTCTCCAAAGTTCAACGAATTTTTCGCAGAAAAATAACTTATCAGAAATTGCGGCCATTGTTTGATGCGCTGCTCCGCGACGAAAACAAGCTTAAGCAATGGCGACGTCGAACGGTGCACACTCGATAAGTAATCCTACAATTATTTGTTTATAGCATAGTTTATACAGATTATTTCCAAAAAATTATACGTGTTTTGGAAATGTAGAGTCGAATTAGTCTAGAATTGATTAATTTTATGGAAGAAAACCTTTCAAACAGCCGTAGTCCGTAAACTTCACACGTGTAGGGCTGCGATTGGCTCATGTATTTAAGAATTCCTACAACGTGAAATTCGTATAACGTGGAACGTATCTACCCATTATAGGGGTCTACTGTACTTTGCTGTGTAGTTTTAAATCAGTCTTTTCAATTTTTCCTTGAATGTACAGTACTGATTATTCTTTTTCTGTTCATTTACAGCAGTGCTTATGAAAAATCAAATAAAACGACCTCCTTTAAAATTTAAATACGAAAAAATAGAAAATGCATTACTCGCATCACTCGAGAGTTTCGTTGAAAATCTCGAGTGATACGAGTTTTTTGCTTCAAGTCACCTACAGTTTAGTTCCTGAAAGAGGATTTAATAAACTTGAACATTGTTCGTATTGTCTTGATTTTCGATTAGGAAAATATTTTTATAAATGAAAATAATCTTGGGGTCTGTATGATTAAATTTTTGTTATTTAATTTAATTAAACATATTTAAACACGAATTCATGAATGCCATTCATATTACGTTAATGTCAGTTATTAACGCGGTTTTTATTAGCGAGGTTGCGGCCGAAGTTTTCATCTCTGAAACAAGAACGTCAAACATCGAGCGCCGCTTACAATATAGCGGAGCTCGACGTTTGACGTTCACGTTTTAGACATGAAAACTTCGGCCACAACCTCGCTGTTCCCATACAATAGTAATTCACCGGTGGGATCAAGTATATGTGAGGACCCGAACAGGGGTCGACTGAGAGGTCCGAATTATGGGTTCGATCGAAAATAAAGAGCTCCTTTTCAGACGATAAGGAAACGGATTAGGTGTCTCGATTGAACAATGCAATTGGTTTTTTTTCGGAAAATTAGTTAAACAATGGAAACGGAGAAATTCGAGGAAAACACGACAAGAGAGAGGATCATATTCAATCACTATGTTAACCTCTCCCGCGCCCTCCATTAGGTTTCGAATTGTCACCAGGTGACAATGAGAGACCAATGGAGAGGCGACTGCTGTAAAAAATCTATAAATTTGTGCGGCTCAAGAGACGAAGGTTCTTGGTTTTTTGGTTTTTGGTTCTTGGTGTTTGGATACGTAGTGTGTCGTCTCCTGGACGGGCGTGCTCCAGATCTTAGAAAAAAAAGGACATTTTGGAACATCGTGGAAGCATCGTTCTCTGGGTGCTCCTAACAATCGACAGATTCGTCGGTTCGTCCGCGAGAAGCCGCCGAAAGCCGTAATCAACGCCCCGGGGCCCACCGAGTGTTTCACCGACAGCGTCCATCCTCTAGCGACGAAAACCGACTTTTACGAACTTTATTTCGAACTTTATCCGTGCGCTTTGGGGTGCTACCTCGTCTAACAAGTAATTTGTAAGGAGCATTTTTACGTTTAATAAACGGTTATATGGTAAACCTGTCTCAGGAAGTCAGTCTGCGCCCACACGACAGAACGAACCGCTCGGCTGTCGAACACCTCACCCCTAATCGGCTGACCTCACATATAATTTTGACAATACTGTTTGGCAGTCTTAAATTCATAGAGGATGAATATCAGTATTAAATCATTCTAACCCACATCCACGCTTCCCTATTTTTTCAAAATCAAACGAATGTATCGTGCGGAGGATTTCTGCACGATAACGATCATAATTTATTATTAAGGTCATAAGTGCCATGTAGCCACGGACAGTTAGTAGCTAATTCATTCAAAAACACACACTAACCCTCAAAGAGATAGTGTGGTTTTTGAGAAAGAAAAGAGTGATGTGAGTATCTGAGGCCCCCTTTTTTCCTTTTTCGCAAGAGCAATGTCGCTCTTCTTATAAACTCCTAATTTGGTATAGGAGGGAGTAGGGAACTTCTACGGTCAACGACCAAGACAATCTCCTTGAAATAATTGTTAACATATATATGAGAAAAAAACCATCATTTGTTTACGGGCCATCCATAAATTACGTAAGGGCGATTTTGGCCATTCTAAACCCCCACCCACCCCTGTGTAAGAAACCGTAATATCTTCTTTGATCTCCCCCCTTCCCTATCTTATGTAATATTTAGGCATGATTTTTTACAAAGTTTTTAACAAAAACGTTTTTTATGAAACCCTAAAAACGTTAAGTCCAAAATATATAATTATTAATTAGTTAATTAATATGTAGTATTATTTTTAAATTTGTTTACATAAAAATTTAATGAATTCGAATGAACAATTTATTTTAAGAACTTTATTTTTTAATTATTAGCAAACATTTTTTATTATTATTATCATTAATCAACGTCATAATATTTATTTTTATCTTAATTTTAATTTTCACAAAAGACCCAAAAAACTTTGACATATCGACTAGCTAGTGCACGTGTAAACAGAAACATCATAAAAAATAAAACAAGAGAGAATAGAGAGAAACCACATTTCGTTGCCATATTGATTACATCTTGGCTAAGGCCAAGAAAATAAACTACACGCTGCTAAAATATGCTAGGTGCACCTGGGGACTAAATCATAAAGCTTGTAAAATTCTATATAATGGGGCAATACAACCAATGCTACTTTACGCAGCCTCTAGCTGGGGTCATTTAATTAGTCAAAATTTAGTAGCAAGTAAATTACTCTCTCTTCAAAGACAGTTTTCTGTCAGAATTTCAAAGTGCTGCAGAACTGTTTCTACTAATGCCTCTGATACTAGCAGAGCTCCTTCCTTCGCCACTATGTATTGTAGAAAAGGTCCTAAACTATTACATCAGAACTACAAACGTCAAGGCTCAACAACAGTCTCTACTCCCATCTACGGCTGTTCATATGCTACCACATTGCAATTACCCTACTATCTCTGATAATCGTCCTGTAAACAAGGTTATTTGGTGTCATCTGCTTCCTCCATGGATAACCACGCAGACTTTAGACACAGATGGGTCTAAAAGCTCCCTTTGTGTCGGCTCAAATATCTGTATCTTCCTCCAAACTGACATATTTTCCCAAAATGTGTAGAAGGTACAGACACTTCCCACATATCTTCATCTATCAAGCTGAAGAACATGCTGACTACAAGCTTCACTACCAAACAAAATTCTGTCTATCAACATTTACAGCGATTTTCAGTCTGTCCTAAAAGCTCCATTAAATCCCAATTGCAATAGAAATATCCAGCACCATATTAAAAATCTTGTAAATAAGATAACTTTTATATTTGTTCCTGGCCATACTGGCATACTTAGAAAAGAAAAAGCCGACTTTGAGGCTAAGTCAGCTGCAAAGGACACTGATTTGGACTACACTCACATCCCTCTCTCACGTAGCAGTTTTAAAAATTATATTCATGACAACGCTATGCAAAAGTGGAATCAGTAAAAGTAGTTGAGCAGTAAAACTAGTAGAATAACAATTCTATATTTTCCTAGTGTTGAATGCAGATTCTCATCACTACTTAGAGATTTAACGTTTGCTACTGCTCAACTACTTACTGACATGGTAATTTTGGAAGCTACCTGACGATGTATAACCAGGCAGAAGTTGCTTCTTGCTTTTGCTCTACAGAACACATATACACCGTCGACCATATGATCTATCTTAATTTATGATCAAGATGGACTTATTCTGAAATTAAAAATCTTTACACTTGGTTTCAGGTGGCCATGTCCACTCGATAAGCTTTTTCAGAAGCCACTATTTGATGCTTTTTACAATTATGTTCAAAAATATGGAATAAAAAACTATTTATAATTTATAATTTCTAGTTTTACATTTTAGTTTTCACTAGAAGCCGAATACTAATTTTATGTTTAGACTACTTTGTATCGTGTATATTGGTTTATGTGTTATTAGTGTTATACACCCATAGGAGTGGTGCACTTACTCAAATAAAAAAACAAGAGAGAGAAACCACCACACGGCCTTTCTCCCATGACAAAAAATGTGTAGAGCGTTTATCTACTAGCTTTATTATTTTATCACGTCACACGAGATGGCTTTAGTACAACGAGTGTTCTTAATAGAAACGGCCAAATTGAAGCCAAATTCAAAACTCAACGAGATCAAAAATATTAAGAATATTAAGAATATTACGTAAGACGAGATCTATTACCCCCTACCCCTGAGTAAGAAATCGTAACAAATCCTTGACTCCCATCCACCCCAAAATACCTTACGTAATTTACGGACGGGCCCTTAACGGTAATCCGATAGAGTCAACAAGATGGGAATAACCGACGTTTCTCATCCAACTAATTAGATTTTGATTCGAATCGAAAAACGGAAATAGTATCATTCCAGCATAAGCATCGAAATCTAATTTAAATAGCAACGTCATCGATGAATCGTTTCGTGACGTCTAATGACGCCATACAATCTCGGTTCCAGTAACTTCCGAATTAGTAGTCCCGTTGTTAATTGGTCGGGCCATCGAGTTTCTTTAACATAGGAAGTATAGGGACTTGGCCGTCTTTGACCGACTCTTGCCGAGTAGCTTCTTTGGCGACAGTATTATTGTATGGCAACCGGGAAAAATGAGTTCGAAATTTTGTTTGTAAACCGTATTGTTCTAAAACCGAAGTTTGACTCTAAAACTACGATCCTTTTATTAATTTGCGACGCTTTTGTGTATTGGATGTCCAATTTGTTTTAAATTTAATGAACGGATATGTTTTATTCAGCATTACGTTCAGCTATTCTAATTATGTCTAAAATGCTGTTTGGCAACTTCGGCGTTTTATCGATAATATTAGGCCTAAATAAAATATTCATGGGATACCATTTATGTAGGAAATAACTAACAAAAATCTCTATTTTTAAATCGCTAATATTAACATACATTAAACATATAACTGTATTTAAGTTTTGCAATATAAAAAGTCAATTGTGCGATACTTACGCTGGATATAGGATATACATTGGGATTACTTAAGCTTAACGTTTCCTTCGCCGAATTAAAACATTTAGCATATTTTTCATATTTCTATAAAAGTAAGTGCTGTTAATTGGTTAAATAATAAACTTGTGTTAAAATATTTAGAGATAAGAATTAACTATCGTTACTTGTGTATTTCTGATTTTGCAAAGGTATTCGTCCAATTCCAGCAACGTTGGGAAAAATTTCACTCGTTGGGCACAATTTTTGAAAAGTTGATTCTCCTAAACAATAAAAGAATATTAATCAGTTGTAATCAGATAAATTTATTTTAGATGAGAAAATTTGCATTCGAATATACTTACAATTTCCAGGCCATTTTCAATCAGGCAAGAACGAAAATTTACTTTACTATCAGCGCTCAGAGCTAATTGAAGCAAAATTGATATATAAATATTTTTTCGTGGAAAATAAACCTAATCATAGATAAGTTAACTAACTGATAAGCACTCAAATATTTAATTGCATTTCGTCGGAAACATACCACAGAATCGTTCATCGAAATTCCCAGAAGAACTACTGGAATCGGCAGATGTTCCGGAGGAAGAATAAGAACAAACAATAGAACTAGAAATAAAGGCAAATGTTGATAACACCAGAATTTGTTTCATTTTCTTCGACGTTTCCTATTCTTTTGACACGATTGTATTTCGCTGAACGATTTATATTCGCGTCGACGATGTTTGAATTCCAATGTATTAAAATAAATATTAGCGTGATAACCGTTATTAAGAGGAAAATTTAACTGTAAGAGGAAAGAAAAAGTTATATATTTACTTTAACAAGTAATTTTGGCCTACTTTTAAAGATGATCGATTTTAAAAATGATCGAATAATAATGATATCCCTAAGTTCCGGTATTAAAATAACGCAATTTATATAATATTGCATCTTAGTTAAAATGTAAAACACGTTTTAATTAATGTTATTTTGGCGATTTTTTATTATGAATAATTTTAATGGAGAAAAGTATATTGAATTATTGGCTTAAATAAAAAGCACTCGGTTAATTTCAGTTAAAAAATAAAACTTATCCGATTTAATTCAATTGAAATGTATTTGATTTATATCTTTTTAAATAAAAAAAATATGTTGCTAAAATAGTTTAATTAGCATCAAATACCCATTAGCACTTTTATTTGAATAAAATATTCAATAAATTTAACTGTAAATAACTATTTAATGAATTATAATATGAATATTTTACTATTAACTCTTGTAAATATTTGGAATTTCGAAAAGAAAAGCTTTTTTAACAGAGGATTAATAAAAGTGTTTGACATCTGGTGACAGTAAGCAGTTGTGGCGATTCATTAATTGTTTTTGTTAAAACTAAATATAAGGGGTTTTCAGATCTTGATTGGGTGGCCTATTTTTCAAGGAAATTTCACTCTAGAAAATATTTATATTATATATTAGATATTTCTGTATATAACTGGTGTGCGAATTGGCAGGATGATGTGTTGGATTTGGATATAACAGAACAGATGGAAAAGGTTTTGTTACTATGGAAAACGGTACTGCTCCGGGTATTGATGGTATACAGGTGGACTATATAAGTACTTCCCAGACTTGATTAGATATATGATAGATTTGTTTAATAATATATATCCATTAGAAAATATCCCGTTGGATTGGCGTTTATGTAAGATTATTCCTATATTTAAGAAGGGGTTTAGAGATTTACCTGATAGTTATAGAGCAATTTCGTTACTACCGACAAGAAACTTAATTACTTCAATTCAATTGAAAACTTGGTTGAACAAGTACGAGGTACAGTACTTTACTTTAGTTTCCAGTCTGGTTTCTTAACATTGAATAATATTTTTGTTCTATGTGCTTTAATTCAAAAACCTTTAAAAAGAAACGAGATAAACTTTACGCTTTTTTTCGTTGATTTCACATCGGCATTCGAGCCTGTAGATAGAGTCCTTTTGTAGAGACAACTTTTGTAGATTGATTGAGTTATAAATTTGTAAATTGTTTGATACAGTTATATACTATTACAGAAGCACATGTCTCTGTAAAGGAGTACTTCTGATCTTGTTTTCACGTTTAAATGTCTGCAGAAAATGATTGATTTTTTGGGATACGCATTACAAGAGTTAAAACTTTTTGTTAATATTGATAAATCTAGAATAATAGTATTCCGAAATGAATGAAGATATTCTAAAAATGAAAATTGGTTTATACAAAACTCTAAAATAGAAGTTTTTGACGAGTATAAGTATTTGGGTGTATTTTTCCAGTCTAATGGATGTTTGTTAAAGCATTTAAAGTATATTCATAGTAAAGTTAATATTGGAACAGATAAGATTATTAAGGATGTTTGTCTGGTAGATTGTTACGCTGGAAAGATAAATTACAATTATTCGAGTTATTTATTCAGTCAGTAGTGCTTTATTTGAGGGTTTTCGAGATAGTGGGGCTAGGTCCGAGATTTGGGGTCTTGACTGTAGAGGAAAAGTTGACAATTTACAAATTAAATTTATTAAACGTTTATATTTTCTAAAAAGATGGATTTCATCGTACATTTTATATTTAGAGTTCCTCTTTCTTTTAATATAATGAAAAAATAATAATTTAAGGTGGTTACGTATACAGTCAGTTAGTAAACTCACCGAGTCCACTAAATTATATTTAATTTCGCAAAGAGTAGCGTGGGAAGATCGAATTGTGTCCTTGTTGCATAATTTTGGCTATCAAAATATCTTATAATGTTGAATGAAACGGACGCCTCTGATATTTTAATGATTAGCAAATAGTTATTTAAATGAGTTTAAAGATAAAGCTGCTAACTATAAATATAATAAATTGTATTTGGATATTTGAATGAGACTCGGTGACCTATTTAAATATAGAGACCATTTTGTATTATACAAACAGTGTGATATGTGCGATGCAATATATTTAAAAGAATTAAAGCTCCTTGTTTAGATTATTGTGAATTCTGTTTCTCTCGTGTTAATTTTGATGCTTATCATTTAATAATTAATGTAAGGCTCTGACGTCTGTCAGACAAAAGTGTTTTGGTTCAGATTATTTATCGGATCAATCATATAAGCCAGGGATGGCCAACAAGTCGATCGCAAAACCAATTTTGGTCGATCACTCGCGATGACTTGACTTAATGTGTTACACTTGTAAGTTGTAACTGAACGCAACGCGTGAACGTAACGCGCAAACGCAACGTTAGTAATATCGGACCTCCTCGCTCTTTCAGATGCGGTTTTGTCGGTCCATGTGCAATCCATTTGCGTACAGTTGTAAAAGGGGAATAAGAAATGTAGACAAAGGGTCGTAAAACCGAAAAAAAAGAAGGGACAGAGAGAGTAGGTCGGGACACGGTAGAGAGAGGAAGGGTGAAGAAGTGATCCCCGAAAGTAACAAAATTGAGTTTCAATTTTTCTTCTGTTTAAAATGTAAGTACCTTTTCTTCGCGTTTTAAATTAAATTGTGGCTTTTCTTATCTATCTAAACATAGTATGTATTTCACCCCTCCCTCCCCCTCTCCACTTAGACCAGGGATGGGCATCCTTTTCCTGTGCAAAAGTCGCATTTCAGAACTTTTGAACTGACGCGGGCGGCATACAAGATAAAAGAGGGGGAAAATGCCGGTAAATTACAATTATTTATTCATATATAATTATAAATTAGAACAGGTATACTTAATTTAGCTTCTAGAACTGATGTAAACGTAATGTATCGAAAATATTTGATTAAATATTAGTCACTGCTAATTTTAAATTAGTTTCGAGGTTAATCTGTTAGCCGGTTTCTCGTTTTAATTTTTATTAAAGTCATTGCAGGAAAAACTATTCACATACATAAGTTGTAGAAAATAACGTTTTAATTTATGCTGCATACTTTTTAATTAAGCTAGGAAATTGATATATTTATATGTTACTGTAAAAGCCGGTATATTAGTAAATACTAGGTTTTACTTTAAAAAAATCCTTACATTTACCAACATGAGTTGGTAAATGTAAGGATTTTTTTAAAGTGTGATGATTTTCCGGGCTTTTCCCATTAGAATTTGGTACATGCTAGGTTTTACTAAAGACGATTAGTAAATGTTGTTTTTGGAAATAAAACAATGAGTATTTTAATAATCATTTATTGCAATTATTATAAACAGTCAACTTACTAAGTCCTATTTATAAATAACTAGTGAAATAGTTTAAAAATACTTTTTTAACATAACAAAAAATTAAATTATCTTGTCAAAAATAATATAATAGCTTACGTTGGCTAAGCTAATCAGTAATCACAGTATTTTTTCTAATCATTTGGTATTCATTGTCATTTCATAAAAGTAAAAAAAGGATTTTACAACATGGAGAGCTATAATGGCATTTCGAATTACAAAGTAATCCTGATGACTTGCAAGTGCGCTTCTTTGTTACGCATTTTTTTAGGCGGTTGCATTTCTTGAAACCTTGCCCTCCAATCAAAGACAACTTATCAAAGACTCACTTCTTTATCTTTAACCCTCTGACCACTTTGATAACTGATTGGTTTCCATCCACGTGCTCAACATATTTTCTATGTCTTGATTAGCACGCTCCACTGATCCATGACTTTGGATTTTTACATCCGGCCACATGGAGCATAAACTCTCAATAACTTAGTTAGACAATTCTTGGCCGTTATCGGAATGAAGGATGCTCGACGCTCCAAAAGTGGTGAAAATATCCAAAAGATAGTATGCAACTTCTACGGCGCGTTAAGTTTGAAGTGCACGAAGGATCACAAATTTGGTAAGATGATTTTGGTAAACTAAAATAAATTTATAATTTCCATCTGGGGTAGTTCGTAGATCTATTAGATCAACCTGACAGCGTGAGTTCATTTCACTATGAGGTATAGGCCTGACAACAATGCCCTTTTTCAAAGTCTTCTGTTTCTTTTGGCAAGGTTGACATAGCTTCAAATATGTCATGGTAGCCTCATGTTACATTTTTATACTTGCGGTTACATTCCTTAAGCATCCGTGTCCTTCCACTGTGGCCAACAGCAACATGTGTTTCTTCGAGAATATTGAATAAGTCCTCGTAACAAATGTAATACCTTATTTCTCCATTTTCCTCCTTCGTAGGCGCAATTAGTTTTTCTTCGCCGCCTATAGTCAAAATGTCGTAACGCTTTATATGACTGTAATGAACAGCTTGTTTCTTTTTCATGTTCTTTGCAGCTTTTACTTCTTCCAAACACTTTGCATATTTGTCCCTATTGAGATAAAAGTTATCATCTTTCTTGCTTGCAATGAGCTCGTCCATTATTTCATAAAATCTCCATTTCATACTCATCTCGATTCAAAAATAACTTTTAGACAAAGAACTCTCAAACAAGATTAGAATTAATGTGCGCAATCTAATGTGTCAAACGATGGAATGCGGCGAGCGAAAACGGCGGCGTATTGCGGTACGGAATCGGGGATCGGGGACTATTTTTTCAACATTTACCATGTCTCTGAGATAAAACCTAAGATATACCGAGTAAATGCTAGAAAGTTCGAAATTAACAATGATCGCAGAACATTTCGGACTTTTACCACAATGATTTGGTAAATCTTACATTTTACTGGAAAAACTTAGGATTTACCATAGTTCGAGCATTTACAGTAACATATACACATTTTATGTGACTCAGGCCGCGGGATGCCCATCCCTGACTTTGACTATGCCTAGGACAACGAGTCGATGGCGACATATTTTTAAGATAAAAAGTAGATCTTATGTACAGAAA